ATCTTCGGGGCTAAACTGACACCACCCACGATGTTGTTTGAAACTTAATGAAGCTTCCCCACTTTTCTTTATGTCATTCCCAATCTACAGGAGTGGGCAACATTGCGAACACATGAAAGAGTTTATTCTTGCATTATTATTTATTACTTTATTATTTACTTGTATTATTTGTCATTGCCTTATTATTGTTTATTTTGTATCCTTACTTATGATTTACCTTTCTTTAAAAGACTGTTTACTGATTTTTAGAGAGAAACATCAATGTGAGAGCAAAGTATCTATCAGCTGCCTCCTGCATGCCCCCTACTGAGGATCGAGCCCCACAACCCAGGCATGTGCCCTAACCAGGAATGGAACCTGCAACCTTCCCGTGCACAGGACAACACCCAACCAACTGACCCATACCGGCCAGGGCTTATGATTTATCTTTTAGGTAATAAAGGCTGGTAATTCAACTTACTTTTGTCTACCCCTGTATAAGGAGGCAACTAAATAATAAGCCCTTAATTAAACAAGTTAATGCCTACGACTAGGATTATAAACTTTAATGAGGCTAACAGCCCACTAGTAGCCCAGTGCTGGAATAAGGTTAAGTAATGAATGCAGGGTTGAAAGCAAGTAATAAGTGTGGGGTTGAAGGCTGACTAGCCAGATATCCACAAACACTGGGAGAAGCTGGATGTAAGCGGCCAACAGTATTGGTAATGAGGATGGGGGTTGGGGGTAGGGAGAGAAGTTGGTCAAGAGCTAAGTAATAAAAATACAGGAATTTAGACACACTGAACATTCTGCTTTCTACTACCAAATGTAGAGAGTGCTTCTTGTCGTCTCTAAATCCTGCCTCTAATTAAAATTGGGTGTTTGGTTTACTCCATTCCCAAAGCATAAACTTTGGCTTTTTATAGCCTAACCAGTGTGCTATTTTAAACATGTGGAGGAAATGCATTTTCAGTTACAAACATTTGCTCCTGTGAATCTGTTCTTATTTGCTAGCAAAGGATGTGGGACAGGATGTTTTACTCTGCTGCTCTGGTTTTCCTGTATTGCTTAAATCTGTTTAGAGAGAAGAAAAATAAATAAATAAAGCATTTCTATAAACTGAAGTAACTCCAAAAATGAAAATGAAAAGTCTGTGGAAAAAATATTAGAATAATTTTCTTTTAATAAATTGGGTCCTATAAATTTTTTCCCCTGAAAACATTTTCCATACCATGCATGTGCAGCCTGCAGCAGATACTAATGTTGGCACTGATCAAATGAGTCCACTAAGACACCCCAGATCAGTTGAATTCCTCCTGACCCTGTCTTTTCCCAAGCACATTTACAACTGTAGAAGTTTTTTTGAGATGCAAGAAAAGCAAGCATGCCAACATTGAAGGTCATCTTCTAGATTTATTCAGAAATTCAAGTGAGTCCCCATTTTCATGTACAACTCTAAGGGCTTTTTTACCCAGGCAGACATATCCTTATGATGTTACATTCCATTGTAACTTTCAAAAAAACTGATTTTGATCAAATTTCACTTTACCCTTTTATAAAGGAGTCAGCTGTTCATTAATCTACTGCAAGATTCCCTCTAAGCCTTCCTCCATACTGGCCTCTGCCCCAGATGCTGCCCTATATGGACAAAAGACTTTCTTCTGGATCAAACCTTAGTCAGGCTCCTTTGAGCCCTCTTCTCAACTAGGCTTCAGTCTTGGCCCCTGTCCTTGTTAGGCTTGTACAGCCCACTTTTAGCAAGAATCCTGGAAAGCCAGTTTGAAGAGAATGCCCCATTCTTTTTTTTTTTAATATATCTTTATTGATTTCAGAGAGAGGAAATGAGAGGGAGAGATAGAAACATCAATGATGAGAAAGTCATTGATCGAGCCCACAACCCAGGCATGTGCCCTGACCGGGAATCGAACCCCGATCGCCTGGATCCTAGGTGGATGCTCAACTGCTGAGCCATGCCCGGCAGGGCAGAATCCCCCATTCTTAATATTTGATCACTCTCATTATCTGATCAAGTTCCTAATTTCCTACCTTTGAGGTATAATTCCCAGCCTGCCTTCAGCAAGAATCCTCCCATCCCTGACATCCCCTCTTAGTCATATTCCATCCTGCCCCCTCTCATTCTGTTCCTTGGCTATAAAGACAGCTCATTCAGCTGTCTTTGCTGTATTCAGAGTTGAGGTGGATGTCTCTCCCAAAATGTGATGTCTTAATACCTATAGCGATAATCCTAAGTGAGTCTTCCTTACCATTTAAAAAAGTGTTAGAATAATTTCTTCTTTCACAGGACTCAGTGGTCAATGGAGCACCCTGGTAAGAGACAGGAGGGAAGAATGGGAGATTTGGTATTTATTCCCCTGGCTTCCCCCTGGAGGGTCCATCGCTCAAGTGAGGTCTCAGCTCCTGTCAGAAGGCCCTCTCTGTCTGCCATAAACTGCTCCCCTTCCTGCCCCTCAGATCTAGGGGTGGTAATGGAGCCTCATTATTACCTGCCCCGGGGTCTTTCACCTCTTTGTGAGTTATTAAACTCTCCTCAAAGTATCCTAATTTGAGGATGCCATCTGTTTCCTGCTGGGTCTCCCTAATACAGATATCCTCTCCACAGATTTCTTACCCTAGAAAGGCTGTGAGCTCTAAGAAAGGAAGGGATGGTTACAGAATGCAGTGATCTTTCCATGTGAGTGACTCAGGGACTTAAACGAGCTGCCTTAGTGACCTTCTTAAGCTGCCACTTCTTCCTCTAGTTAGATTCATAATCATAGTAACAGAGTACTTTCTGAAACATATAGTTTCTAAGTAGAATCTCTAAGTATCAATAGGAATTATTTTAAGAAATAGCCAAGGAGGCTAGAAGTGAAAACTGGGCTAGCTGAAACCATGCTAGAAACCTAAGGTAGAAGAAATTTTGCCTCTTTACCTATCTGGTATTTAATCCAAAGGTAACTTTCACAATAATGCTTTCAATAAATGCACGAGACATTATTTAATAATAATGATATAGGCCTCGTAACCCAAGTAAAAGCCTGCAGAGGCTAATTCCTGAAGTCTAAAGCAGTATTTTTTCAAATTCAAGTTGTAGTCGAATCAGTTAGTCATAACATTTTAAAAAATAACACACTTGACATAATAATGTAAGGTAGAAAATCAGAGTTCATCATCTATAGAAAAGGGAAATATTATTTCACCAGCTTTTTATTTCACTTTTTTACATACTTATATTTATGGGTGTACTAGGGCATACTGTAAAATGTATTCCTTACTAAAACTGGCAGTCAATAAAGTTTGAAAGCTACTGGTCTGAAGAGAATCCCTTTCAAACAATATGATTATAAAGCTAAAAACATGTTGCATAGCCTACAGCCTCACTTTTTAAAAATCTCAACCCTCACTAAAAATAGTTTATTTTGTGACAAGCACATCAATAACTGAAATAAAAATGTTATGAAACAATATTTACTCTTACCATGTGATGTACTATAATATTTTTCATTCTATTTCATTTCTTTTAAATGATGATTGCAAACCACAGCTTAAAAAGTTCAGGGTCAGGCCTGGAGAACTCTGTTCACATTACTCTGATCCTTCCACAGCTGCCTTCATCAGTGTTTGTATCATTCCCACTGTGGTATCAAGCACTCAATCCCTTTCCTTCTCAGGTTTCTGTATAAGTACTACATGACTTCTGCCACCTAGTCACTCTGGGGGAGAGAAATACTTGGAGTAAGCAGCAGGTAAAGAGCATGGAGCAGATGTGGACAGAGCTCCAACTACATGTCCTTGCACTCAGAGCCATGGCACACCCTGAGAGTAGCACCTTACTAAAGCACCTGCAGCTCACAGCATGAGGACTGAAGACAGATGGAAGCAGCTGAGCCAGTGATGGATAGGAGTTGGAGGATTAATATCTCAGCCTCCTCGCCCTCCCCATGTTCTTCACCATCTCCCTGAACCCTTCAGCAGGACTGAGTACCAGCCACCACCAGCAGCAACCTGCTGGGCAACACACCCTCAACTGGCTTCCTTCCCACCCCTTTTCACCTCCCTACTGGGGCTTCCTGGAATCACCTCTCACACTAACAAACCTTCGTCTCAGGGTATGCTTCTGGGTAACCCTGGAAAGCACACCAGCGTAACATAGCATTGTTTGCAGCCAGGGCTGCAGAGATAAGAAAGGCCTGTCCTAGAAAAGCTCATAATCTGATAGAAAAACCAATTTTTTTTAATGTAAAAAACAAAACTTTACTGTTCATAGCAATGACGTAAGTATGTTTGGGAAGGGAAGGAAGAAGCGGCAAACGCTGACAAAAGGGTCAGAGAAGCCCCTGCAGGTGACTCTTCTACCCCAAACACCTCAAGGACACAGTTTCCCACAGGAGTTAGTAGGTGATCAGTGTGTCCATGGGTTGTGGTCCATGTTCAGTTCTCTGGAGGCTAGTGCCCTTACTTCTTACATTTACTGTGAGACTTTACCTCTTACATACAGGTTAAGAAGAGATTTTTATTTTCTCCAAAGAGAAAGAATTCAATTCTAATCTTCAGCTAAAAATAACTCGAGTAATATAGAAAATATGAAGGAAAAAGGTCTATTAAGTTCTTGAAAATGTGTTAATAGAATTATTTGTAAATCAGCTTTCACTTTTTATGTTCCTTTGAGGTCCTTGGGGGATGGGAGTACTCAACCCAAATTATGCTTCCTTAGATGTTCTGAAGACGTGCTGATATTTTCATTTAAAAGTTATATTTTAAATGTAAAGTTTACTAATTGTTCAGCCCTATGATCAACACTGTAAATCAGGACTTTTTTTAGGCTGGTATCAAATGAGAGACCTATGGTTAGTTTTCCTTTCCATCTTCCATTTGGAAAATATTTCAGCAAAGGCAGAGCAGAAACATAATTCCTTCTCTCAGGAAAGGAGACATGACAGCTGCAGTTAAAGTGGTCCTTATACCAGAAACAGCTTCTCCAATGTGCCAGGTACACCTGGGCCTGGGACTAGAATACTCACCCTGACCCAGCAGGGGGTGTCGGCAGAGTTGAAGGGACATTAGCCTGTGGTTTTTCTTTCTCATTTTGCTTGAAGAAAGATTTAGCCTCTTTAGAGGTAGCATCTACTTCCTTAGTCACCCTGTGCCAAGGAAGGAGACATTAAGTTTACAAAAGGAATAAAAAGACAGAAACAAAATCTTAAAAAAGGGAATAAAATGACAAGGAAAATATCCACTGGGTTTTCAATACCTTCTGGTTGCTAAGCTTTATGGTTCAAGTTTACTACAATAGTTCCAGATAAATACATTTTCCCTTGCTAAATGAAACAATCACGTGTATAAATTTGATCTAAAATCCCCTCCATTACTTCTGTTGGCATGAAACACTCTGGTAGTCACTACTGAATCACAGCCCTTGTGGGTTACTTGTGTGAAGGCTGAAAAAGGCTCTCCCACTGCACTTCATATGTAGATTAGGACTCACACGGAAAGGCCCAGTAAAAGTTGGAATGAGGAAATGGAATATTTGGGAGAAAAACACTGGTATTATTTCAAAGAGAAAAGCAACAATATAAACATTTTGAAAATACTCTGCAGAAGACTCCTATTCTACACCTAAAACAACCCGAAGATGAAGCAAGATCCCTTAAAACTGGCTAATTTGGCACTAATTTGGGAATGGAAGAAAATTATAGTTGAGAATCCTGCCCAATTTCAAATTTGCAAAAATTGCCCTCAATAAAACTGACAAATAAGGATATTTATGGTGTCTGAAATTTCAGATAAAGAAAGAGAAATGCCTAATGCCTGCCTAGGCTTGCAAATTCAACAAAAACATCTGAGGAATTTTGTTTAAATTCCAATCTATCTGTAGGAGGGTCGAAAATTATAGTCATTGTATTATGGGTCTTCAACCAGGTCATCCAGAATAAGACTAGCCAAGAACAACAGGTGAATCCTACAAATTCCATCTTTGCAGGAATGTAAGTCCCTATCTCTTCTCTCCTTCCTTCAAGGCTTCCTAAGACCCGAACCAAATTTTCTTATCAAGAGTCATCTCACTCCTGCACTCAGTACTGTGTCACCCACATAAATGACACAGAATATAACTCTGAGGGTTCTGTATTAAGAATCTTCCCTGGGAATGATTGCCAAAATCTGGACCTACTTCTATCAGGCTTAATTTGTGGGTCCCTCAACCCTTCCAAATGAGCCTCTCACTAGTAAGAGTCAAAAATAAGAGAACTTATATGATAGATTAAACCATCATTCAGCAAATATTCATTCCTTCCCTCTTGATCAAGAAGATACTCCCCCACCCCACCAATGTTAAGCTTGGACACGTGACTTGTTTCAGTGGTGGTCAGCGGGATGCTAACTGATCTGACAGCAATAGAAGCTTTAAATGTGTTTCTGTTGTTTCATGTGCCCCTTGACACCCTCTAGCTATAAAATATATATATATATATATGCCTCAAGCAGCTACTGGTCCAAGGCAGATGATAGACACATGCTACAGATCTGAACCCAACTAGTAGCTTGGACCCAAGCCTAGATCTGCTGAGCCCCAGACAGCCAGAAACACACTAGTGACAAATAAATGCTTATTGGTGTATACTACTGAGTCTTGGGATGGTTTATTACACAGTAGTTCCGTAGCAATAGCTGACACATTTACATTTCGTGAAAGAGAAAAATGAAATTTAAGGGGTTAAGTTACTTTTTCAAGATTAGCCAGAGATTAAGTAGCAACGCTAGAGAGAACCCTGTAGATGTGGGACCTATTAAAAAATGCCATGGCCTCTGCCCTTAAGGGGCTCACAGTCTATCAGGGAAGCCAATCATAAAAACAAATCATGAAAATACATGATCTATAGTTAAGTGTATAAAGGAAGCATTGAAAAAAGTATAACCATGGAGTATCTCTGTTAATTTCTTAGGGTCAAAGTCCTATTCATATTCACCAGGAAACAAGTTCTATAAACTGGTATATTTCTCTCAAGGACTTTGCTAACTGATACAAAGTAATATTTGCAGAAGATTACTCTTCACTGATAGTATACCTAGAAGAACTCCACTTTTAACAAACAACAAGCAGGGATTCAACTATCAAAATATCTTCAAGTAGGAGTGGTCTAAATTATAGACCACTTCTAATATATAAGAGGGAACCCTGACAGGAAAAGGCCCACTATTAGCAGTAGTTAATTCAAGTGATAGCAGCAGAAATTCCATTTTAAGTTCATTTTCACTTGCTCAGAACTTCCTGAAAAGTCTTTATTTAGGCAGAAACTTTCCACGACTGGCCTTTTCCAAAAGGTGAATCATTTAGGAAAGTCTGAGCTAATTCGCTCAGCTGGTTGGTTATGTGACAGGGAAGGATAGAAAATACTACTTGTCCTCATTCTCCCTGGTTAATAAGCTACACATCTTTTGGGGGGAGGGGGTGTGTAAAAGACCCAAAATTTAATTATTAAAATGTAATTAGAAAAAGACCAACTTTGTGCTAACACTACCTTATGCTTATACTTACAAATTCTTCCCAGTCATCACTAGCTCTTTCTTACATTTCTTAAAAATGTAGTAATGCTCTTAACTTGATACAAAAAGAAAATGCAGAATGGCATAGAGATTAAAGATTACGTTCAAATCTATAGACCAAGTTTGCATCTGGTTGTCAATTAAAATTCAGGCCTCCCAAGGTCCTACATGAGTTCCTTATGATATCTAAATTTACATATAAATAATCCAAGTAAAAAAAAAAAATCATGCCAAATTGCCAACAGGGTTTTTGTTTTCTTTAGAAGGGATTATAGAGAACTTCTGCTTTTCATGTTATATCTCTCTATAATGTATGTCTTTAAAGTAATAAGCATTTGTTACTTTTGAATATATCTGTTATATTTATGAAAAAGTGCTTCCCTACTCATATTTGTTCATAGATATGGTGCTGCCCTCTTCTGACAAATCATAGAAATAGCAGGCTACCTGAATATCCATCCAATATTTAAAATTACCATTTGCTTTAAGCGAAATAGGAAATTTGTGTCAGACTATGTTAATAAATAGTAGTAAGTCCACAAAATTTAATTTGATCAGGAAATTTAATACTTTCTCATAACAACAGTTACTCACCAGCTTTTCTTACTCTCACGTAGGGCCAGTGGTTAAGTTATTTATAATAAATCTTTCTTAAGGTATCCTATAAGGCACATGGAAAATAATGCAGGTCTTGTTTCTAATGGTATGTTAAACACTTTCTGTATTATTTTTGTAGGCCTTCCAAACCATTAAAGGTTTACCATCAGTGGTCTGCTATGCTCTATTGGACAACTCCACAGTTCCCCGGGTGATTTCTGGTCAAGAATTACATAATGGATCCCCAAAATGAATGATTATCAAGGAAAAGGGTGTTTTTATGACAGGGAATTCTGAAAGGTATTGCCTTAGGTGGTCTATCACATCACCACCAATACTGGGTGCACCGAGGATGACAAAACACCATCAATGTAGTATCTAAAGTGATTAACCTGATGCCAGTCACAGGAAACAATTCAACAATCCAAACTGAGGGACATTCTACAACACAGATGGACTCGAACAACATATGTTAAGAAATACAAAAAAGGCTTAAAAACAGTCTAATTTCAAGGAGGCTAAAAAGACTAAATGCAGTGTATAATCCTGGATTGGATATTGGACTGAACGAGAAATAGAGTTGTAAAGAACATTATTAGAACAACCGGGGGGAAATCTGAGTAGAATCATACATAGAGCTACTTAAAATGTGGGCTGCCCGGCTGGGCGTGGCTCAGCGATTGAGCATCGGCCTAGGATCCAGGCGATCAGGGTTCGATTCCCGGTCAGGGCACATGCCCGGGTTGCGGGCTCGATCCCCAGTCGGGGGCGTGCAGGAGGCAGCCAATCAATGACTCTCTCATCATTGATGTTTCTCTCTCGCTCTCTCCCTCTCCTTTCCTCTCTCTGAAATCAATACGATATATTTTAAAAACAAAACAAAACAAAAAACCACACAATACTATCTATTACTGGTCCAAGAGGAGATGAATATAGAAATAGTAAGTATTTAGAAACTTGTTTGCAATTTGACAATGTCATAATATTTAAGACATGATCAATGGACTCACTACATTAAACAGAATACAGATCAATTCAGTTATATCGTCAAACTTACAAGATGATCACATGTGATATTAGTTTATTAGTGATGTGCAGAAAGACCACATAAGAATGTGTTTAGGTGATTTTGTCAACTAAAACCCAAAAGCTTGATAAAATGTAAGCATTTATTTTTTTAATTATAATTTATTTTTCAATTATAGTTGACATACAATATTATATTAGTGTCAGGTGTACAGCAGAGTGGTTAGACATTTAATTTACAAAGTGATCCTCCTAGTAAGTCCTGCATCCACCTGACACCATACACAGGTATTACAATATTACTAACTATATTCTCTAAGCTGTACTTGACATCCCCATGACTATTTTGAAATTGCCAATTTATACTTAATTCCTTAACCTTTTTCACAGACCCCCAACCCCTCTCCCATCTGGCAACCATCAGTTAGTTCTCTGTACCTATGAGTCTATTTCTGTTTTGTTTGTTCACTTATTTTGTTCTTTAAATTCCACATATAAGTAAAATCATATGGTATTTGTCTTTCTCTGACTATTTCACTTAGCGTAATACCTTCTAGGTCCATCCAGGTTGTTGCAAATGGTAAGATTTCATTCTTTTTTTATGGCCCAGTAATATTCCATTGTATATATATATACCACTTCTTCTTTATCCAGTCACCTACTGGTGGACACGTAGGTTGCTTCCATTATCTGGGTTATGGTAAGTAATGCTTCAATGAACATAGGGATGCATATATCTTTTCAAATTAGTGTTTTGGATTTCTTCGACTAAATACTCAGAAGTGGGATTGTAAGCATTTATCTTTATAAATTATTTTAAAAATCATTTAAACTGTTAACCAAGTGTGACTTTTAAAAATTAGTTTAAATTTGTTAACTAAATTAAGAAAGTAAAATTGGTGTTTTTTAAATGCTAATTTACTGATGGCAAAACAAAACTCGTTTTTTTGTGAAAACACATCTTTTCTAAATGCAGCAATAGTAATAAACCACATGACGATGAAATAATTCCAAAGATGCCCGGCCGGGCATGGCTCAGCTGTTGAGCATCGACCTAGGATCCAGGTGATCAGGGTTCGATTCCCAGTCAGGGCACATGCCCGGGTTGTGGCCTAGGCAGCTGATCAATGACTCTCTCATCATTGATGTTTCTATCTCTCCCCTCCCCCTCCTTTCCTCTCTCTGAAATCAATAAAGATATATATTTTTTTTAAAAGTTAAAAAAAAAAAAATTCCAAAGAAATGAAGGTTGACCGAGTCACACTGCTTTTACTGTATGAGCCCTCTTATATTGACTGTGATTTCTGATCATGCATTACTAAAACCAAAGTGAGTTCTTTGCAGTGATGTTTTGACTAACGAAGCCTTTACATACAAAACATAAAGAAGTTCAAATTCAAAAGGATTCTTTGAAAGAAAGAGTGCTGAACTGAAAAGGCAATAGAAACAGGTGCAAAATTCCGTACATTAACATTAGTGCACTGTGCCCTTCTGAGCAAGAAGCACTGTTGGTTGCTACTTATGTTCTCTGATAATTCATGGAGCCACTGTTTTCCTTGAGATCAAATATAACTCTCCCAAAATATTATGATGGAGTGGAATGAAGACAGATTACTCATAACACCATTCAGAAAGATGCTCTAAATTTTGTTGTTGTTAATCCTCAACTGAGGATATCTCTTCCATTGATTTTTTTTTTTTAGAGAGAGTGGAAGGGAGGGGGAAAGACAGAGAGAGAGAAACATTGATGTGAGAGACACACATCGACTGGATGCCTCCCACATATGCCCCCAGCCTGCAACTGATGTGCATACCCTTGACCTGAACTGAACTGGAGACCCTTTCCAACTGGAGAACCTTCAGTCTGTGGGTCGACACTCTAACCACTGAGCCAAACCGGCTAGGGCAAGATGCTCTTTTTTTTCTTTTTAAATATATCTTTATTGATTTCAGAGAGAGGGAGAGAGAGAGAGACGTCAATGATGAGAGAGTCACCGACTGGCTGCCTCCTGCATGTCCCCGACTGGGGATCGAGCCCGCAACCCGGGCATGTGCCCTGACTGGGAGTCGAACCTCGATCTCCTAGATCCGAGGCCAACGCTCAACCACTGAGCCACGCCTGGCCGGGGAAGATGCTCATTTTTAAAAGAACTAGTTCTAAAATTTATGAAGGTCATCTTACCTGACTTCTTCACCAGCAAAATCAAACACCTTGGTGATTTTAACTTTTTCTGTTTCTTTAGGTTTCTCTAGCTCTTCTGCTTTGACCAACAATTTATTTGAACTTGTCTCTTCAGCCTCTTCTCTTTTCTATGAAAAAAGTAAGAAATGTAATCAGTTTCACATAAGGATGAAATCTAAAAGAACCATTCAAACATGCTGTCCATGGCTATTCATAAATGTTTCATCTCTAAACAGTTAAAGACCTACTGAGAATTTACTTGATTAGAAAAGCTTATTTCTCCTACCATAGGGAATGCTTTGCTTTTTCACTTAGTAGAGTTACTATCAAAAGGCATCTATGTAGTCTGATTTCTGCTGTAAGCTTCAAATCTCAGTATGTAAATCAAATAAAATCTATTTGGAAACATTCACCTCATTCATGAATCAACTTACTTTAACCTGCGGACTCGAGGGCACTTTTGATTTCGGCCCCACATCGCTGAGGAAGCTGGCCCACAGTTCATCCTCCTTCTTCTTCCTTGCATCCTCTGACCCCGCGCCTTCCTCCTGCTCTGCAGCCATGCCTTCCTCCTCACTGCTGCTTCCTCCAGATGCCTCGCTGAGACCCTCCTCTTCCTCTTCTAATGAGAGGCCACCTTGTTTTCTCTTCCTAATCACCAACATCACAAGGAAAAGAAAGACAAGACATGCAAAATGATGTTATCCCTTCCTCAATTCCAAACACAATGTTGCAGACCCAAGAAACTTTTAAATCTGGGACTACTGATTAAGATGCACACTAGGGGTGTAGAAGAGATACACTGAGATTTTTGTGGAAGAAAAAAAGAATTGAGCCCTTAGCTTCCCCTCTAAACACCTAGAATCAAAATATAGTGTTCTACTTCTAAGTCAGGACCAGTTATTTTCACCAAGAAACACCCAAAATCACCTCACAGAATCAATCTGTCCAGAAAGTTTTCTAAGAACATATATACATATACATACACACACACACACATACATACATATATATATATCAGGTATTTTTGACCTTTTGAAGTCATTACATTTGGAGAACATGTTTTACTGAGGAGAGCCTCAAATTTATTTGCACTGGCCCAGCTGGCGTGGCTCAGCGGTTGAGCATCAACCTATGATCCAGGAGATCCTGGTTTGATTCCCCGTCGGAGCACATGCCCAGGTTGTGGGATTGATCCCCAGCAGGGGGCATGCAGGAGGCAGCCAGTCAATGACTCTCCTCATTGATGTTTCTCTCTCTCCCTCTCCCTTCCTCTCTCTGAAATCAATAAAAATACATTAAAAAAAATATTTTATTTGCATTGTTTCTTCCTAGAATTCTCAGGGAACAGGATCCACATTTCTTCCCATTTTCTGAAGCTATTAAAACTGAAATACAGAAAATTTCAAGGATAAAGGAACTGGGCCCAAAACTCATGCAAGTAAATTGATTCTAACTTCAAGTGAACCTAATACCTAAAATTCCTTTCCCCCTTTTTATAAACTACAATCTGCTCTTTGCTTCAATGCCCAGGAAGACAGAAACACCAATCAAAGAGAATAAAAAATTTCTACGGGAGATTCTCTTATCTAAGTTAAATAACCCATAAGAATTTTCATAATTTTTGGTGGGAATGTATTTCAGTACCAGGCCTATGGAAGGTAATTTGCTAATATCTATAAACAACTTAAAGTAAGGTCTATCCATATAATGGAATATTATGCAGCCAATGAAAAGAATAAGGTATAGCTAGATATACTGCCATGGTATCATCTCCAAGATGTGAAATAATGAAAATGAGAAACGATATACAGAGTATGCTAATTGTTGTTGCTCGTTTTTAAAGAGAGTAGGAAAGATATACTTACATGCTTATATATGCATAGAATATCTCTGGTAGCATAGTTCTTTTGAGACACAGGAACAGGGGCTAGAGATGGGGTACATATTTTTGTAGTAACTAAGCTTTTCATTTAAACTATGTTTATGTTCTACCTATTAAATTTTTTAAATTAATGCTCGAAAAATTTTAAACCTTGCCAGAGACGAAAAATTTAATCCTAAAATGTCATCAAATGTTTCTCTCGAAGAGAAAAAGGTAAGAAACCCTAGCAGCAAGAAATTGATCAGAACAATCAGGACAGCTGGGATAACAGCCCTGACTTCTAGGGGCATTGTGGGCAGCATCACCTGGGAGGAATGCTCTGAGCCTTCCTTTTTTGCCCTTTGGTTTTCTGTGTCTGCTCTTCACCATCCACTTCATCTTCCTTCACTAATTCATTTACATCGTCTTCACTATACTCTCCACCTGAAATCACAGAACAGGGCAGTCAGAAAGGCAGGAATAAAGGTTTTCACAGCAAGGTGAGACATTTGTGTTAAGAAAAAAGTCTAGTACTTCCCTCTATTCTTCAACTAACTAAAATATTACTTCCTTAGAGAAGTTTTCCCTGTCCTTGGAGACTAGGCTAAGTTCCTGGATCCTAGGCTTCCATGGCAGTCCATATTTTCCTCCATAACTCATCCCATTTATATTTAATGTTTGCAATTTCTGCTATGCTATACACAGCATGAGGACAGGGATCCTGCTAACCAGTGTTACCCAATAAATCCAATAAAAAGGGGGGGGGGATTTTTAAATCAATCACTGCAACTCACCACATTAACAGACAACAGAAGAAAAACCACACATCATCGATAGATGGAGAAAAGCATTTGACAAAGCTCACTTCTCAGCAAATTAGGAATAGAGGAACTTTAACCTGATAAAAAGCATCTGTGAGAGGCAGTATATGTAGAATGCCAGGGTTCAAATCCCAGCTTAGCTACTATCTTGCTGGATGACTTAGGGAGCCTCAGTTCCTTCATCTGTAAAATGTAGAGCACAATAATAGCACATACCTGCTAGTGTTATGTGATTTAGTCATTGTAAATTGCTTAAAACACACAAAAAGTAGCTGAAAAACCTATAGCTAACATTATACTAAATGGTATATTCAGGTTAACACACCTTTGAAATCCCCCTTTTGGACCCTTCCTCCTAAATCAGGCCACCCTCAAGACAGCACATAACCTCAATTATCCTGTAATCCAATCCCCAGTCCCACCTTCCTCTCCCCCACCTTCAGTAATCTTCCTCAGGATCCCTCCTTAACCTTAAATGCATAAAAGAAACTGCAAACTGTTCATATCTGGAGCATTTGAGATTTTGCTCCACAACATACATTATCAGTTTGGCTCAAGTAAACTCTTATAAAAATTCTCTACAGGCTCGGGCATTTCCTACATCAACAAACTAAATACTGATCTAACCAAAATCGGACACAGGAACAATGGCAGACGGGAGAGCTGGTGAGGGCCTGAGGTGGGAGGGTGTGTGCTGGGAGTGAGAGGAATGAAGCTGATGAGGGATGATGGGAACTACTTGGTTTCAAAACAAGCCTTTTTTATTAAAATGAAAACTAGTTTCCAAACGATCACTCTGGCCATTACTGTAAGATCAATGTTGGTGGAGGAGACTGGAATCAGGGAAACCCGGGGGGAGGGGGGGGTAGCTATGAGGAATCCTAATGAAGGATTGTGGTAGCTCAGTAGCAGTGAGACTGGTAAGGAGGTGGTCAGAAATGTCCTTTCCACGTAGACACAACAGAACTTGTTGATCGGTTGGACCAAAAGGGAAGAATAAGGATGACTCCACTCCTAAGGGTTTTTATTTGCGTCTTTGTTTTTTGGTGGTGTTTTTTGTTGTTGTTGTTAATCCTCACTCTGGGATTTTTTTTCCATTGATTTTTAGAGAGAGTGGAGGGAGGGAGGGTGAAGAGAGGGGGAGAGAGAGAGAGAGACACAGATGCATCCCTCTCACATCGATCGGTTGCCTCCCGCACGCGCCCCAACCCGGGCGGGTATCCACCTGCATCCCAGATAAGTACCCTTGACCGGGAATCGAACCGCCACCCTTCAGTGCGCCGGCGGATGCTCTAACCACTGAGCACACAGGCCAGGGTTGTTTGTTTTCTATCAGAGGGATTGTATGAATACTTTTATGAGATGGGAAAGTCTGGGGAAGGCGCAGAGTTTCGTAAGAGATAGGTTTGGGTGACAAGATTTATTTTAGCCCCGCTCAGTTTGTATACAAAACAATACACACACAAAGTTCTGAGAAGAGCAATGGCATATACGTAACAAACAGGCAAAAAGCATCATGTGAACTTTCTACCAACCAGATCCCGTCTGGGGGCAGAAAGTGGACAGAGCTATCTTGGACGTGATGCTAGCTGGCAATTCCCTCAGGACGGATCTTAAGATAACTTCCAACGCTCAGGCCGCCTTTCAGACGATTTCAGCATTGGCGTGACTAGGGGATGGCGGACCACCGCCGGCGCCCCTGAGGCAGGGCCGTGTTCCCGCGCCGGTTCCCGCGCTCGAAAGGGGGTTGCAGCCGAAGTCAGGCCGCCGGCAGCGGCTGCGCCAGACGTCCTCCCGCACAGGTCTCGGGCCCCAGGGGCGGAGCGCTCGGGGATGCTCGAGACCCGTGCTCCCGGGCCACCAAAGCCACCAAGGCCCACGCACGCCTAGCCAAGCGCGCCTCACGTGGGTCGCGGGGCGGGGCAAGCCTCTCCAGTCGGAATCCCGCTTACCCGAAGGCACGTAATCCTCGTCCTCCTCTGAGGAGGAGAAGTCTTCGGAGTCGAATTCCTCCATGTCGCTGCCACGCGGGGCGGGCCAACCCACAGGACCGCAGCAGCTGACCCCAAGGCAAAGCTCTAGGGACAGACTACAAAGCTGAGGCGGGGGCGGCGGCGGTTGGGGCGGGCCCCCGCTGCGAGTGCACATGCGCAGTGCGTGTACGTGACGGTAACGCGACACTTCCGGGCCAATGCCGCGGCAGGAGATACTGTGGCAGTTGGCGAAGCACTGGTTCCGTGATGAAGCGGTGCACGCTGGGACATGTAGTCCTCGGTGCTACCTAGTCTACTTAATTTAGTAAACGTGCTTAAACAAAATTACATGTCTTTGGGAATACAGTTGACCCTCGCTATTCACAGGTTGGTATTTTTGTATTCTCTTACTTGCTGAAATTTATTGTTACCCCAAAAACAATATTCGCGGTGATTTCTGGGGTTATTTGCAGACATGCGCAGAGGGTGAAATTTTGAGTCAACGGTGCGTTTTACCAGCTGAGAATGAGCAAGGCAGACGATCAGACTTTTGGTCCAGTTCTCATACTATGTCTAAGTGTATTTTTCGCAGTCCACTTAGTGCCGCGTTTTTTTGCATTTTTGTTTTGTTTTGCATTTTTGTGCGTTTTAGAGTGATTTTGCTGTTTGAAATGACCCCAAGCGTCGTGCTGGAGCGCTGCCTCCTGTTCCTAAGCGCGAGAAGGCTGTGAGGTGCCTTATGGAGAAAATACATGTGCGAGACAAGCGTCGCTCAGGCATGAGTTGTAGCGCTGTTGGCCGAGAGCTCAATGTTAATGAATCAACAGTTCAGTACATCAAAAAAAAAGGAAAAGGAAATTAGCGTATCTGTACGAGAGGCTGCTCCACAGAGTGCTCAAGTGGCATCTGTAGTGCGTGAGGAAGCTATGGAGAAGATGGGAAAGCGGCTCAATTTGTGGCTTCCTGAGATGACAACAGGTAAAAAGGCTGTGGTGGACAGCATTGTTGTGATGCTGAAAGCCAAAGAAATTTATGGTCATGTTATTCAAGGCCAGAAGTGTTAAATCCTTCCCAGCTTGCGCTAGCTGGAGAATGTCAACACTGGGCTCATATTCCCGCAAACTGAAAGTCGGCTGGAGCCGAGCGCGGCTTTAGGCAGGGCTCTCCAGTTGGCCACGATACAAATCCCACGAGTCCCTATGAGATTCCTGGTTCGTTATTACCGTGTTTTCTTGGCAATAATTTACAGGGTCCTCTCTGCCAAACAGAACCTTTAGCCCGCTCTCTGCTATAGTCTCTTTGCACTATCCAATCTTGGGTTATCACCTCTTTAAAAACTGAAAGAAAAGTCCTCTGTTAGGTCCTGGATACATACATACAATCTTGAGTGCTCCTGGCTGAACTCTGCATGTATCCTTCTGGGGTGCTAGAAACATTCTGTATCTTGATCTAAGCCGTAGTCATGTAAGTGTGTAAGTATGTAAAAATTCATCAATCTATACATTTGTGTACTTTACTGTATATTGTACCTCAAAAAAACAAGAGGATGGATGGGGAGTTTCTTGCCAGACATTGTACGTCTGCCTGCAGTGCCTGGAACTGTAGCAGTCATCTTGTGACCATGGGGTAAGCTACCCAAATTGGACAGTCCAATTTGCTGAACAGGCAGAGCAAGAAAAGATTTGTGATGTCACAGACAGTACTAAACTAAACTTGGAGCCTCTCTTCATGTAGACTTACTATTGAAATAATAAATTTTTTCACACTATCAGTTTTCTGCCATTCCAGTGTATAACCATACAAAAGTTTGTTGATGATAATATATAGCCCACAAAGTGGAGTTAATAAGACCCATGTTCACATATAAGTACAGTTTAATCACATCTTTGAACAAGAATTTTACTGTAAATTAATAGGAAGTTGAACATAAAAGAAATACTGTTAAACATATGTTATGTACCAAGTTATAAAAAAAACCCAAAACCCAAGACCTTGAGATAGACAACTCTATTACAAAAGATTAAACTCATTGGCCACTGAAAAAGAAATAGTCATTCCAGTTCACAGAATTGAATGTAATTCTTTATTGATAAACATTTATACCAGAATTAGAAATGTCAGTAGAAAAATAAAATTTAAATAATTTTCCATCATACAAAGGTTTGATCATTTTGACTGTAGCAGTTAGTGAAATAACCTAATACAAAAGTTAAGCTGATTTCAGTCACAACCAGCCTAACAGAGTGCACAAAAGGAAATGCAGGTAATTTTCTGTGTGTGGATAGCTAACGGCACCTGGGCTTCACATTTCAGGAAATGGTTTCTTAGGGAAGGTTATATGCATTGCAGTTGTAATAAGAAATTAATTCAAACCAGAGCAGTTAGAAAGGACATTGGAATCAAAAGCCAACACACAATTTTAAAACTTAAAAAACACAAGGAAGGGTTTTAATGTAATTATTTGCATGAACTTTTTCTCATTAGTTTAGACAACTCCTAAGAACTAATGTTTTGCTGCCAAAAAAAAAAAAAAGAACTAGCACAAAGAGACATATTTCTCTTGGAATATTCATTATGCTTTTAAATGTGGACTTAAGTTTTCATGAAATGCCTTTACTCCCAAATACCCATTTTAAAGAATCCAGAAATCAGCTTTTATGGTTGGGGGCTGTCTCCCTCCCCCACATTAAAAAAGAAAAAAGTAGATGTACAGCTAGGGGATGGGGAGGTTGTATATGTCTCTTCAGAAAGCCAGTTGTTGGTAAAACTCAAAAACTATATATGATAAAATGAAATGTTCAACACAAATGACAGTATTTTTTCATCTGAGCAACTACCCCCAAATAATTGTGTATTTGAGATGAGAAATTTTAAAAAACAAAAATTTAAAAATGAGGAGGAATATTCTTTATCAAATAGTTTTGTCCCCAAAACATTTCAAGTTACAAAGCTCAATTTATATTAAGTATATATACATATATTCACAGAAGAATGTTCACATACTGGGATGGAAGAAACACTCAATTTGAAGATATATTTTATATTTGAAGTTTTTAAAAAGAGCAGATAATCAAAATATAGCAAACAGGAAAGAGAAGGAAACAGAAGACAGCTTTCAAAATGCATTGATTTTTGTGTCTTTGCTCTAAAAGAAAAATAACCAAACATTTAAATCATAGATCAATATGTTCAAAAATTAGTATTCAGGGGAAGGGGCCCACCAACCACTGGCCTCCTTGTTCAATTTGTGAAATTCTATCCAAAAGAATGCTTTAGGTGAGAATGCTAAGAGGCATTCTTTGATAGATGCTCAAATAATTTCTTATAATAAAAGCTACGACATCCCAAATTTCTTGGCCTAAAGGACTACTTTTCAAAATCATAGCTCCTTCAACTGAAAACTAGAGTCTTTAACTAAAGACTTAAAATTTGCTTGAAAGGATTTAAGCACTGGGGAGTAATCTTGTTGGGGCATTTGTAAGGACATTTGCCTGCATTCCAACTCTACTTGTAATTTTCCACCCAGTCTGAGTATATGTCACTGTAATTTTGATAAGTGGGCTAATGGCCTATTAGTTAAAAGAAAATGCCCAGTTACTTTTTGTGAGCCCTTTGTAATTTTTCTCTTTGACTATCCTTAATAAATTGGTCTTCCCAGCTATTTTTAATCAGAAGTCAGAATGCATATTTCTTTAAGTGAAACAGACGCCTTCCTGTGTACATCACCTCCTGGGCCATCAGCCCTACTCTCACAATGAAAACTTTCCTTTACAAATGCCAGACTTAATTACTGGTAGCTATTTTTAAAACAGGTAACAACATTGATTGCTTTCCATACAAAACAGTTTCAATGTTAAGGATCAAGTTAGATACTTAATTTTTGCAATCCTTTCTGTTTTGAAGGTCACAGTCTTCAGGCTTTTTAATGAAAAAGAAAGGCAGTAGAAGAAAATTTTAAATAGCTAAGATTGGGTTTTAAAAAACTCAGTATTTAATTCTCTTTAAGGACATACATTCTCTTAAAGAAAAATGTAAAGGACATCGTGAAAGGTGGATCTGAAAATTAAACTTTAGGCACTTTCTGGGAGTGACACCCAATACTGTAAAAGTGGGCTGAAAACCCACCACTAAGGAACTAAGAAGACCAAGTAGCTATTAAAACTAAAAAATCAATAACCCTAACACTAGTTTGAGCTGCACTTATACAATTTTTCAAGAGCCAGTAATAAACCAAAATCACTAAGAAAAACTATAACAGAATGTTTAAAGTATCTTTTTAATGGGCCTTAATGTCAAAAGAGTATCTTAATCCATCTGGCTTAAAATTTTCAACTCGAGTTATTTAATAAGGTATGTTTCCAATTAAACCTAATAAAATAGAATATAAGTGATAGGAAAAGGTACTGGAATTCTGAAGAAAAGTCTCAATTACCTTATTTTGATAATATGTATAAAACAACAAATTCACATCTCTTAAAATATATTAAATAATCAGAGGTCAAGATAGTTATCCATGAAATGTCACATCATTCAGTAATTATCTCCTTTAAAAAAAACACACAGTGGAATCAAAGCCACTACTTGTGTCATAGATTTTCCCCCCGTTTTATTTCATGAAATACTCAGCCAAAACCTATTTGGCACTATCATGAAGATGTAGCAAAAGGAGAGTCTGCTAAATTTTAATCATGATTAGATCAAATAAGATTTTTTAGTACAGTATATATGCTCATAAATAAACCAATATTTTCCATAGTTTTTCTGAAATATGCAACACTTCATTTTCTCACAGAATATTGTGAATTTCAGTGCAAAGACTGCTAACCCAGAAGCACTTTTGACCTGGCTTTGGGTAAAGGTGCACCTGTAAAACGGCTCAAAAAAATATCTAAACAAAATAAAACTTGATTTGTTTCGGTTGAGAACAACAGGAGTCCAAAAAGAGCATCAATTCCTAGAGCTTCAAGTTGAAGAAAAGGCTGAGATGCTGTTCTTCACAAACTTTGTCATCCAAGTTGCTTCCATTTGAAGAACTAAGAAAACACTACCTCCAACATTGTATTCTTTTTGAGGATTCTATAAAACTTATGTTCAATGCCATTACATACGGGTATATGCTATAGAGTAGCTAAAACCCGTAAAAAGGAGACCACCACTACACAAAACGTCTGTCCAGTGCCCAAGGTAAGGGCTTCAAATGGTATCATTTCTTTTCCAGCTGCTCGGTATACTCCAGCAATTGCTGCACCTGTTCAAAAATTCAAGCGTGTTAAAAGAAAAACCAAGATTAATATAATCAGGAATCTATAGCACTTAAAATTCTACTATAAGTAAAATGTTCCTGATTTTTTACATTAAAATGTAAATATTATAGAAATGGGGGTCAGGGGTGGATGCCAGGTGGGGGGGATCAA